CTGCCTGTCCTTTTCCCCGTCCGCGCCCCTCTTCGCCGAGTTCCTGCTTCCGCTGCTCCTCCACCACCTCCTCCATCTGCTGCTTCACCCCTTCCCCACTGATCCTGCGAGAATTTTTCCTTCCCCTTCTCCTTCACGATGGCCTTGACGATATCTTTGGTCACCATCAGCTCCATATCCTCCCGCAAATTCGTGACATCGACTTCCAAATCATCAATCGTCTCTTCGACAATCATTGCAATCTCTTTCGCCTCCTCCGCCTCCTTCCTCACCTCTTTGATCATCGGTTTAAGCTTCCCCATCTTCTTCGTGACTTTACTGAATCTTTTCTCTTGCCTCGCCTCAAGCTGTTGAGACCGTTCCGGTGCTCCTGAACCCACCACGGCCTCGCGGACCGACACGTCGCACCCGCTCGAGGCGTCCCGGAGAGCTGCTGCGCGTGCCCTCTGCCGTTCCGGTGTCGAGCCAGGTCGCCGGCGGGGGGTAGGCGGCGGGCCGTCTGCGGGCAAGAGACTGTCGGGTGGGGGGTCCCAATGAACAGAGCTCCCACGGGGTGGGGATTGCAGGCCAGGTCGACGGCGGGGGTGGGCGGCGGGGAGAAGTCGGGCGAGAAATTGTCGAGTAGCGGGGCCCCAAGAGCAGAGCTCCCGTAGCGGGGATGTGTGTGGGCCAGGTCGACGGCGGGGTTAGGCGGCGGGGCGTTTTCGAGCCCGTGGGGTGGGGGATCGTGGGCCAGGTCGACGGCGGGGGGTAGGCGGCGGGGCGTTTTCGGGCGAGAAATTGTCGAGGGGGGTTCCCCAGGAACAATGCTCCCGTTGAGTTGGGATTGGGGACAAGGTCGACGGCGGGGGTCGACGGCGGTGTGTTTTCGGGCGAGACATTGTCGAGTTGGGGGCCCCAGGAGCAGAGCTCCCGTTGGGCGGGGGGATTGTGGGCCAGGTCGACGGCGGGTGTAGGCGGCGGTGCGTATTCGGGTGAGTAATTGTCGAGTGGGGGGTTCCAAGGACAGGGCTCCCGTGGGCCGTGGGATGGGTGGCGAATGTGGGCCAGGTCGACGGCGGGGGTAGGCGGCGGGGCGTTCTCGGGCGAGAAATTGTCGAGCGGGAGGCCCCGAGAACACAGCTCTCGTGGGGTGGGGATTGTGGGCCAGGTCGACGGCGGGTGCAGGCGGCAGGGCGTTGTCGGGCGAGAACTTGTCGAGTGTGGGGCCCCGAGAGCAGAGCCCCCGTGGGGTGGCCATTGCGGGCCAGGTCGACGGCCGGGGTCGGCGGCAGGGTGCTTTCAGGGAAGGTATTGTCGAGTGGGGAATCCCGAGAACAGAGCTTCCGTGGAGTGGGGGCTGCGGGCCAGATCGACGGCGGGGGTAGGCGGCAGGGTGCTTTCAGGGAAGATGATGTCGAGTGGGGAATCCCGAGAACAGAAAACCCGTGGGGTGGGCA